AAGGGTGAAGAAATTTAGGAAACATTTCAGTCTTCCCGCAAGATTTTACTCTTTACTCTATCTTTTTAATGATTAGAAAGTCATGCTTCTTCTGCACTGTTCTTTATGCCTCAACTCCTTAAAACCTGACATGAAGCTTAATAAGCTTTAGATAACATAATCTCCATATAATGGGATTTTTTTTTGAAGCCAGTTGCTAAGTATATGAATTATTACAAGAAAAGAAAGCAAAATGTAATATCAAAGAGCCAACTTTAAAAGTTCAAACAGAGGGCAAAACACACTTCCATCAACAAAATTGTTTAATAAGAGTCTATCAACAGTTCAGAAAGTTAAGGATGCTTAAATTAGAACAAAATTATCATGGTATATGTATAATTCATGTCAAAGTAAGGTGTGACCGGGCAGTTGTTCAATTGTTTCTGTGTAATTATCTTCAATATACATAGGAAATCCATAGGAAATCATACATAGGAAATCAATGTCAGTGAACAAGTATAGATTCATATTAATTTAAAATAATTTTTACATTTTCGACCAGACAAGTACTTCACCACATAAGTATAGCATTGGTTTAAAACCCAGTGCATATGTCATCCATTGTACAGTTCCGCCTGGTTGACATGCCTTGTTTGAGTATGAGTAAGAGCAAAATATTTTTGCAACACTTCAGGCATATTGAGAGATTATTCCCTTTTTCAATGGATCTAGTGAACATTTTACTTATTTTGAGTTGGATTATTTCACCTCTTTCGTATTAAATGCACCCACCCTTATTATATGTCATTTTATTCAAGGGAAACAGGGCTTTCATTTAACATCAAATATTTAGGTATGGAACATAATTTAATATGAATAAAATATAAAAAAATGGGAGAAAATAAGATTTTTCTAAATTTCTACATGACATTTTAACTGTGAATATCAAAATGCTGTTTGCTTTTACTGCAATAAAATACACATATTTGTATTCAGCAATGTCTCACGTGTAAAACAGAACCCCCTATGTACAGGTTTTATGGTGTTTTGGGAAGTTACAGGTTCAAATATATGTTACATTTTTCAGTTTTTTCACTTTGAAATTCGCCAGATTGGTTACGTTGCCTTTGAGACCATATGGTAGCCCAGGAATAAGAATTACCCCCATGATGGCATACCATTTGCAAAACTAGACAACCCAAGGTATTGCAAATGGGGTATGTCCAGTCTTTTTATTATATATTTGTGACTACACAAGTGGCTACTAAAAAAGACTGGACATACCCCATTTGCAATACCCTGGGTTGTCTACTATTGCATATGGTATGCCATCATGGGGGTAATTTTCATTCTTGGGCTACCGTAAGGTCTCAAAGGCAACATAACCAACCTGGTGAATTTTAATGTGAAAAAACTGAAACGCAAGCCTTATATTTGACTCTGTAACTTTTGAAAACACCATAAAACCTGTACATGAGGGGTACTGTTTTACTCAGGAGACTTAGGTGAACACAAATATTAGTGTTTCAAAACAATAAAACATATCACAACAATTATATCGTAATTGTAAGTGACATTTGTGTGTGAAAAATGCAAAATATGTCACGGTCACTGACAATATCGTTGTTGTAATAAATTTTACTGTTTTGAAACACTAATATTTGTGTTCAGCAAAGTCTTCTGAGTAAAACATTCCCCCCCATGTACAGGGTTTATGGTGTCTTGGAAAGTTACAGGGTTAAATATAGTTCTAGCAAATTAAATTCCCTGAACATTCGGCCTGGGTTGTCAGGCAGGTCCTGCAAATTGTAATTAATAAAATGACCTAATTATGTAAAATTATTACATAAATATATATGTATAATTATTATATATATACACTTGTGTATATATATATATAATAATTATATATATATATATATATATATATATATATATAATTTATAAAAAATATTTTTACTTAGATATAGGTATATATATAGTGATATATACATATATACTTATGTATATAGATATATATATATATATATATATTATTTAGTGCTACATGTATTTTGATATCAATATATATATATATTAATTTTAAAATACAGTTAGAATGAAATTACACATGTATATATATATTTTTTTATTTATTTTTTATTATTTTTTTTTATTTATTTTTTTAAAGTATTTACATATTTATTTTTATTATATATATATTTAATCAATATCATTGTACGTGTATTTTGATATTAATATATATATATATATATATATATATATATAATTATGTACATATTAATATTAAAATACACTTAGACAGTGTATGTGTATGTGTGTATATGTGTGTATATATACTTAGATCATATATATAATAAATATATATATATGATCTAAGTATATATAATTAAATTTTACACTGTTTTAACATTTATTTATTTTATTTCCAGACGGCAGGGGGAGTACCTCTCATTACAGGCACTCCCCCTGCTGGCAATGCCTTGGACGGATCACATGGCCCAGGGGGGCCGAAGAGGACGGAGGGGGACTCCCTGAGCTCCTAGGTGAGTCCCCATACCGCGACCGCTGGCGTGGGATCGCCCTGCGACTTTTAGAGCCATCAAAATACGGACGGCATAGAACGCCCTGCGGTCTTAAGGGGTTAAGGGAAACTATAGTGCAAGGAAAGCAAATTTGTTTTCCTGACACTATAGCTCCCTATAATGGCCCCCATCTGGTGACCCCCACCCAACGTGCAGAAGGGGCTAAAAAATATTTTTACACTTATTCGAGTGCAGCACCGATGTCTCTTAGCGCTATCTTGGGTTCTGCCTCTGTTCCTTCACTGCCAACTTCAGGGGAGGCCTAATGCGCATGCGCAGCGATTGCTGCACCTGCAATAGCGATTACACCATAGGAAAGCATGTCATTATTGCAGTTTCTTAAAAACTGCAATACTTACCTTTGCAGGGTTTATGTAGTGACCTGGGACACTGCACCCAGACTTCAATGAGCTGAAGTGATCTGGGTGCCTATAGTGTCCCTTTAAGTAAAGAAACCAATTAGACCAATTTGTTGATTTCAATCTAAGAAAATACAATTCAGCCAGGCCCGTGACATCCTGAGGGGCTCTCAGACCGTATCCGCGCAGCAGGAAGCACCGCACACTGAGCATCCCTCTCCAACCTACGGGAAAAGCTGCAGTCACTGTACTGGGATAGCCCCAAAGAGACCAGCAAGAGGAAGCACCCCGTGTCGGACACTGAGGAGAAGGCAGGGGCCCTGTCCGAGCCGGAGGAGGAGGTTCACAAGGTGCGCAGCAGAATCCGCCAGCTCCAGCTCTTCTGCCCCGCGGAGTGTGCAGTGATAGAGGCCTGGATCGATGAGGTGGTGTCCCGGGCCAAGAAGGGGCTGTACCGGCAGCACATGGTGGACCGGGCCCTGCTCCGCAACAAGTACTTCTTTGGCAAGGGCTAGACGTAGGGTGCCCAGCTGCAGAAACAGGGCCCCGGACAGAAGCGGCTCTACCCCAAGGGCCAGGTGGATGACATCCCAGACTGGATGCTCGAGATGGTCATCTGCCGACTGGTGGAGCGCAATGTCATCCCTGAGGGCTTCGTCAACAGCGCTCTCATCAATGACTACCAGCTACGTGGATCCCATCCACATCCACAAGGACCCCATCCACATCTTCGAGCGGCCCATCATGTTCATGTCCTTCTTCAGCAACTCTGCACTTTGCTTCAGCTGCAAGTTCCAGTTTAAACCCATCCTGGTGTCCGACCCCATGCTGCTCCTACCGGTACACCAGGGCAGCGTCACCATGCTCAGTGGGTACGCTGCAGATGAGATCACCCATTGCATCCAACCACAGGACATCAAGGAAAGACGGGCTGTTGTCATACTTAGAAAGAAAAGGACAGAAGCTACACGTCTAGAAACAAAGTCCCTGAGCAGCAGTTACAATCATGATGGTTCCATCGTAAAGCAGATCCGGATGCAGCTCACAGACCCCAAATTCTAGTAATGGATAAAGAAGAAAACAGACATTCTGTGCTTTTACCAAAGCCGTGGAGGCGGAGTAACTTTAGCTCTGAGAACTATTGGCGACAGTCTTATGAGTATGTGGATACCTACTTAAAGGATCACTCTAGGCACCCAGACCACTTCAGCTTAATGAAGTGGTCTGGGTGCCAGGTCCAGCTAGGGTTAACCCATTTTTTCATAAACATAGCAGTTTCAGAGAAACTGCTATGTTTGTGAATGGGTTAAGCCTTCCCCTATTTCCTCTAGTGGCTGTCTCATTGACAGCCGCTAGAGGTGCTTGCGTGCTTCTCACTGTGATTTTCACAGTGAGAGCACGCCAGCGTCCATAGGAAAGCATTATGAATGCTTTCCTATGGGACCGGCTGAATGCACGCGCAGCTCTTGCCGCGCGTGCGCATTCAGCCGACGGGGAGGAGAAGAGGAGGATCGGAGGAGGAGAGCTCTCCGCCCAGCACTGGAAAAAGGTATGTTTTTACCCCTTTCCAGAGTCGGGCGGGAGGGGGACCCTGAGGGTGGGGGCACCCTCAGGGCACTATAGTGCCAGGAAAACGAGTATGTTTTCCTGGCACTATAGTGGTTCTTTAAAAATAGGAGATGACGAGGGAGGCCCAGCTTGCAAAGTTAAAATGAGACGACATTAAGGCAGCAGGTTTTTTGTTTTTTTGTAGACTGTTCACCAGGTTGGTTAACTTCACCATTTCATCCACAATTGACACCATGATTGCAGAAGTATACTGGAAGTCCACACTCCCTCCATTCTGCACATCTTTATACCAAGAAAGTTTGTTCTGGTTTGGCTGACCTCTTTTATGCAAAAATGAAATTTATGTAAGGAACTCTGACAATCATTCATTTAATTTGATATTAATTGATAAATATGTGAAAGAGGATACTTTGATATGTCATCTGTGTTTCTACCACATTATTTATGACTAGAGTTGAGCAAATCCGAACTGAAAAGTTCAGGTTCGTACCGAACATTACGTTTTTTGGACCCCAGACCCAAACACGGACATAGCACTGTATGTTCGGGTTGGAGTTTGGTGATCGGCGATTTAATGACGTGTTTTGAAAGGCTGCAGGGCAGCCAATCAACAAGCGTTTGACTCATGTGCCATTAGAAGCCATCACAGCCATGCCCTGTGGTGTATACTGGTTTTGTGCTGCCCTAGGCCCTCCTTTCCCCCGCCACTCCCACTCAACCCTTCCCCCCGCCCCGCCTTCTAAATACACACACACATTCACTGACAGATACACATACACTAGCTAACAGAAACACACTCACACTCACTAACAGACACACACAGTCAGACACACACACACTAACAGACACACACACACCAACAGACACACACTAACAGACACACACACTAAAAGACACACTCACACTAACAGACACACACACAGTAAGACACACTAACAGACACACACTAACAGACATACACACTCACTCACATTAACACATTTTTTATTTTTTATTTAACCCCCCCAGCCTCCTTACCTTTGTGAATGCTGGGGGTGCAGTGGCTGCTGGGCGGGCGGCGCTGGCGGGTGGCTGGCAACCACTTCCTCTGAGCTGTTTGCTCAGCTTCCTTGCGCGCTGCAGAGTAATGCCGGGAACCGGAATATGATGTCATATTCCGGCTCCCAGCCTCACTCTGCGGCGCGCGAGGGAGCTGAGTAGACAGCTCAGAGGAAGTGCTCCCTCGCCAGTGCCGCCCGCCCGACCGGCATGTCAGTTAGCGGCAAGGCTAACAAGACATTTGCCCTGGGCATTTGGGGGCGGCTTGTTTTGCCGCCCCCTGGAAAATGCCGCCCAAGGCAAATGCCTTGTTTGCCTTGCGGCTAAAACGTCCCTGGCCATGCCTACTAATGGCATGGCTGTGATTGGCCAGTGCAGCATGTGACCCAGCTAATAGGGGCATGTATATTAAACAGTGAGCAGCCTGTGGAGGCCATAAATAAAAATTGGGGGGGACCTAATGTCCTCCCCTCCGTCCCCCACCCCTGAGCGGCGGGTGGGGGCCCTAGTCACCGGTGGGTGGAGGCCATAAATAAAAATTGGGGGGGGACCTAATATCCTCCCCCCCCAGCCCCCACCCCTGTGCAGCAGGTGACTAGGGGTCCCCAAATCCCTAGTCACCCCCCACCCCCCAAAAAAATTACCCCTACCTCCCCCGCTCATCCTAAAAATAATGACTTACCATTTGATGTCTTCTTTCTTCTAAAATCTTATTTTTTCAGCCCCAAAAAAGGCCAAATAAAAATCCATATTAACCAACGCACTTTGAAAAAAAAAAAAAAAACGAGTGCAAAAGAATAATAATCCAGCTAAAATAATGCCTACATTGTCATGATAAAACTGTGTCGCATTTCCGTCTAACTCAATATGTGTGTGGGCTGCTGGAAGTTATGCTTTTTATGCATGTTAGCTGTGAGTGTGTCTTCTGTCTAGTGAAGAGCCTTGAGGTGAGCACATATCTACTTTTATGGTAACGCAAGTGAGGTTGATTAAGTTATAAAAACTTTAAAAAAAATTAATAAAAAAAAATCTATATGTAAAAATAATGAAAAAAGTAAAAATAACGTCACCACGTTTGGGCTGGAGTTTTTTAGAGCCCTTTTTTTGCCCAAAAGTTTGGGTCCCCATTGACTTCAATGGGGTTCGGGTTAAGTTAGAGCCCGAACCCGGACTTTTTTTCAAAGTTCGGCCGAACCCGCTGGACCCGAACATCCAGGTGTCCGCTCAACTCTATTTATGACCTTTCAATGGGTCTCAAATAACTTAATGTTAGATGTTTAAATATCCCCCATAAAAGCAGACTGGTTATACAACAAGGCAAAAAAGCAAAATGCTCAAGTCCTCTTTTTGCAAGAAACACACTTTTCTTGTGGTAAAATGCTGACTTGGTCAGACACTTTTATCAATATATATATATATATATATCACAATGTTCCAATCCTCTGCCCCCTGAAAACAGATTATGTAAGCATTAAGTTGATAAACCTCCAATGCAATAAGTTGCATTGGTTGCACAAAAATGATAAAATTAGCAAAAATAAAATTGTATTTTAATAAAATTACTGTAATAACCATGTAATTCCCAGAGGTTTACATTTATTGCTGAGGTCAATGGCAGATAAGCACAACCCAGAGATTAATATAGAATGAGATCAGATTTTAGATCATTGTTCCTTTAAACGTATTAATCATGGAGTGTGTAAATGAAAAAGATGTTCATACATCTACATGTGGAGATTAATAATTTATTTAGACTTTAGACACTAGAACTTTCTGAGTGTATAACTCTTATGGAGAAAGTAGAAAAAAAAAAAAGGAAAATATAGTTTCAGGAAACTATATCCATAAAAAAAAGAAAAGAAAAAACAAAATTTGATCCATTGGCAAATCTCTCCCATATACTAATGATATCTACCATTATCAATGCATTTGTTAACTATTAAATATGATGATGTGAATTTATATGGCACATTATCCCTATAAAGGGTCTGTGACAGATATAGATGTTGGGCCGGAGTTTGGGGAAGCCTGCAATAAACAACACAGGTCTACACATTACACCCACTGCTTTTTTAAATGTTTCGACTCAGATCATTGGAACTATGGTGGCTTTGACGATGGCACCCACCATCCTACCTACTAAGCACAGCTATATAGATAACCCTGGTCTACACGAAAAAAAAATGACCCTCCCTGAGCTAAATGAGACATAGCTTATTAATACATACCTACGCACATAACATGAGATTGGTATTGTGATTACATGTTGAATTTTCATTTAGGGCATATTTTGGGTTTGTTCCATTTACCCCCAAGGCCGCATGTATGAGAGCTGGCACTGGCCACATCGACTATCGATACGGCCAAATAGTTTAATCCTGATTCTTAGAGTACTGTGTATATACCTTGTTTAATATTGTTATTGCTGTTTGTGTTCTTTCAACCTTCTAACTTCTTCACCTCTGAATTTAGGATTACAGGTGATACTCAAAAAATTAGAATATCGTGCAAAAGTTCATTTATTTCAGTAATGCAACGTAAAAGGGGAAACTAATATATGAGATAGACAAATTACATGCAAAGCTAGATAGTTCAAGCCGTGATTTGTCATAAGTGCGATGATTATGGCTTACAGCTCATGAAAACCCCAAATCCACAATCTCAGTAAATTAGAATATTGTGAAAAGGTGCAATATTCTAGGCTCGCAGTGTCCCACTCTAATCAGCTAAGTAAGCCATGACATGTGCAAAGGGTCTCTGAGCCTTTAAATGGTCTCTCAGTCTGGTTCAGTAGGAATCACAATCATGGGGAAGACTGTTGACCTGACAGTTGTGCAGAAAACCATCATTGACACTCTCCATAAGGAGGGAAAGCCTCAAAAGGTAATTGTGAAGGAAGTTGGATGTTCCCAAAGTGCTGTATCAAAGCACATTAATAGAAAGTTATGTGGAAGGGAAAAGTGTGGAAGACAAAGGTGCACAAGCAGCAGGGATGTCTGCAGCCTGGAGAGGATTGTCAGGAAAAGGCCATTCAAAAGTGTCGGGGACTTTCACAAGGAGTGGACTGAAGCTGGAGTCAGTGCATCAAGAGCCACCACACACAGACGGATCCTGGACATGGGCTTCAGATGTTGTATTCCTCTTGTCAAGCCGCTCCTGAACAACAAACAATGTCAGAAGCATCTTACCTGGGCTAAAGAAAAACAGACCTGGTCTCTTGCTCAGTGGTCCAAAGTCCTCTTTTCTGATGAGAGCAACTTTTGCATGTCATTTGGAAAGTAAGGATCCAGAGTATGGAGGAAGAATGGAGAGGCACACACTGCAAGATGCTTGAAGTCCAGTGTGAAGTTTCCACAGTCTGTGTTGATTTGGGGAGCCATGTCATTTGCTGGTGTTGGTCCACTGTGTTTCATTAAGTCCAGGGTCAATGCAGCCGTCTACCAGGAGATTTTGGA